ACACAGAGAAGCAGAAACACAAACACACACACACACACACACACACGCAAACACACAGAGAAGCAGAAACACACACACACACGCAAACACACAGAGAAGCAGAAACACACACACACACGCAAACACACAGAGAAGCAGAAACACACACACACACACACACACACAGAGAAGCAGAAACACACACACACACACACACACACACGCAAACACACAGAGAAGCAGAAACACACACACACACACACACACACACACGCAAACACACAGAGAAGCAGAAACACACACACACACACGCAAACACACAGAGAAGCAGAAACACACACACACACACACACACAGAGAAGCAGAAACACACACACGCAAACACACAGAGAAGCAGAAACACACACACACACACACACACACACAGAGAAGCAGAAACACACACACACACACACACACACAGAGAAGCAGAAACACACACACACACACACAGAGAAGCAGAAACACACACACACACACACACACACACGCAAACACACAGAGAAGCAGAAACACACACACACACACACACACACACACACGCAAACACACAGAGAAGCAGAAACACACACACACACAGACACACACAGAGAAGCAGAAACACACACACAGAGAAGCAGAAACACACACACACACACAGAGAAGCAGAAACACACACACACACACACACACAGAGAGAGAGAAGCAGAAACACACACACACACACACAGAGAAGCAGAAACACACACACACACACACAGAGAGAGAGAAGCAGAAACACACACACACACACACACACACACAGAGAAGCAGAAACACAAACACAAATATATATATTTTTTTTTTATCTTAATTTTTCAGTTTTAACCACTGTAATATATTAGTCTAGTAATTAAATGATATTTCTGCTTTCAGATCCCTGAATTCACCAGATATTATTGATGTTAATATTTGCTGAAATGTGTTTGACAGAAAGAGCGACTGCGTAAGAAAGAAGCCGGCGTGCCGTCCGTCTGAAGCTCTGAGACCGGCGCCTGATGACAGGAACGGCTGATCTCAGGTCAGCGACAGCAGGACAGACTCTTATTAAACTCATGTACCGGCTGAAGTGCCACATCAGTCTCTTCATCATCAGCAGTGCCTCATCCTCGTCACACACGGCCGGAAACACACAGCTGAGGGAGGCGCTTCTGCTGTATACTAACACATGTGAAGGGCCGACATCTGTGTGTGTGTGTGTGTGTGTGTGCTGGAGAGACAATCACTCGCACGCCGTCGGTTTCACACACTCCTTCTGTGTGACGCACTTTCACACACTATGCAATATCCTGCGTTTAGGAAAGTGAATCATGTCCATTTGCAATGAGCTTTTTTATTTGAGAACATGATGAGAAATGAATCATATTTCTGTGTCTGTATATTTGATGATGTTTGTGTGTGTAAACGAGTGAATGAGCGACTCAAAGCCCTGTTTATTCACAGGAGGAAGGTTTTGTTAAGGAATATAGATATAATAGTATGAGGGATTTAAGGATGTTTCCCTGTGAGTTTACATATGGTGAATTCTTTAATTTATCCAGTTATTTTATGACAAGCCTAAATGTGTTTCCACTGTCAAACATGTTAAAAACTCCTGGAACATTATTATTATTATTGTCAGATTTCTGATTTTATTTTTTGTGATACTTTTTCATTTATTAGGTGCAATAAACTTTATCCTAAAGGAAAAATCGAATCAAAACTCTCAAAAATTCTATGAAAATGTGCATATTATTTTCATCATATTATCAAAGTATTTACATTTAAAATCACATTTGACCAATGAAATGATGCTTTTCATAATCACATTTACATCATCTGTCAGTGTTTCAATAATGCAAAATTCATTTCTAAATCTGAGTTACAAGTTTTTAATAATTAGACGGACATAATGTGGTCTCAGTCGATTTTGAAGCATTTCATTGTGTTTGTCAGAGAGAGAGAGAAAGAGATCCGGGGTGAAAATGTTTGATCTTTTATTAATATGATCTTCATACAAGCCATCTATCCACAACATCTGTACAACCAACATGTGTGATAGCTTTGGGTTTCACAACTAAACTGCATATAATCGTTCACTGTTTTTATCTGATATTATAAATAGAGGAATAGATGAAGAAACTCAACCAGCAGAAACATGAATAACAGTGTCTCGTTCCGTCACATTAAATAAAGTCGTTCCACATAGTGGAAACTATCGTACGGAAGCGGATTGCATTCACTCGAGGAAACAAAATCTGCTCTGTTTTTATGAATTAACGAGTTAATTATCTCAGAATTACGAGATCATTTTTCATGAAAAAAACGTTTTTGCTCTGTTTTTCTGAATTAACGAGTTAATTATCTCAGAATTACGAGAACATTTTTCATGAAAAAAAGTTTTTACTCTGTTTTTCTGAATTAACGAGTTAATTATCTCAGAATTACGAGATCATTTTTCATGAACAAAAAAGTTTTTGCTCTGTTTTTATGAATTAATGAGTTACTCATAATTTTGAGATAATTAAGTCATTGATTCAGAAAAACAGAGCAAAAACTTTTTTGTTCATGAAAAATTATCTCGTAATTCTGAGGTATTAACTCGTTAATTCAGAAAAACAGAGCAAAAACTTTTTTTCATGAAAAATTATCTCGTAATTCTGAGATAATTAACTCGTTAATTCAGAAAAACAGAGTAAAAACTTTTTTCCATGAAAAATTATCTCGTAACTCTGAGATAATTAACTCGTTAATTCAGAAAAACAGAGCAAAAACGTTTTTTTCATGAAAAATGTTCTCGTAATTCTGAGATAATTAACTCGTTAATTCAGAAAAACAGTCTCAAAACTTTTTTTCATGAAAAATGTTCTCGTAATTCTGAGATAATTAACTCGTTAATTCAGAAAAACAGAGTAAAAACTTTTTTCCATGAAAAATTATCTCGTAACTCTGAGATAATTAACTCGTTAATTCAGAAAAACGGAGCAAAAACGTTTTTTTCATGAAAAATGATCTCGTAATTCTGAGATAATTAACTCGTTAATTCAGAAAAACAGAGTCAAAACTTTTTTCCATGAAAAATTATCTCGTAATTCTGAGATAATTAACTCGTTAATTCAGAAAAACAGAGTCAAAACTTTTTTCCATGAAAAATTATCTCGTAATTCTGAGATAATTAACTCGTTAATTCAGAAAAACAAAGTAGATTTCTTTCCTCGAGTGAATGCAATACACTTCCGTACTATCAGTCCTGAAACACGTGAAACGGGAAAACTAGAGTATTGTGCAACAGTTCATGTATTTCAGTAAAAGGTGAAACTAATATATTTAGTATATATAACTTTTATACATATGCATGATTATATTTTTCAGAGGGCCGACATTTCTGTATTTAAAATCCTTTTTTTTTAAATTGATTTCATGTAATATTCTAATTTTCTGAGATTTTGAATTTGGGGTTTTCCATAATCATCAAAATGATAACTTTTGCACGATATTCTAATTTTTTGAGTTTGACCTGTAGACGTGGAGATGAACGAGGATCTCCGTCCGTCACCGTGACAACATGCACTTCAGTTCATAAACACGGAGATATTCTCGGCTATATGGGTTAATAACAAGCATGAACGTTTCCAAACATAATCTCATCACTGAAAGATGACATGCAGAAATCACCGGTTTATCCTTCCATCTATACAAGTAGAAATCCTCCATGCATCTCTGCATGTTTAATAATCATAAAAGTTGTTTGAAACTAAAGATTAAGATGAAGTGACGCTTTTCATGCGCATGTAGAAGAGCAGACATGTTTAACACAATCTTAAAAACTGGAAAAAGAGTTTTGAAAGCTAATATGATCAGTGTTGACGTGAGTGATGTGTGTGTTAGCGCACGTCTCTTCTGTGTGTGTGTGGTGCTTATGGAAGCACATTTATGACACATATACCACAATAATCATGCTTTTGTTCAAGTTGAAATTATGACATTCTAAGTCAAAATTATGACTTAAAGTCTGATTTAGAAAGTTAGAATTAAGACATAAAAAGTCAAACTGATGAATTTTTTGTGTGTAAATGAGTGCAGTTATGAAATGGAAATGACATGTTCAATTATGACAGATTTGGACTTTTATCAATTTCGGCTTTTGATAAATTACGACTTAGAATGTCAACTTCAACTTTTTTTTTATCTCATTATGACTTTTTTTTATCTGATTTTATGACAATTGTGATTTTTAGTATGAAATTTGAAACTTTTTATCTCATAATTATACGTGTCATAATTTCAACCTTATTCTCATAATTTACTTATTAGTGTGTGACAATTTTAACTGCCATAATTTCAACTTTTTAAACATTATAATTATTATTTATCTCATTATGATTTAGTGTGTCATAACCATCTTTTCCCGTGTGATAACCAGTGTTCCCACAGCATATTCTGTCCCTCACTTTGTCACAATTTCGACTTTCTGTCATAATTTTGACTTTTTAATCTCATAATTATGACTCGTATAGCAGTTTTGACTTACCTCATTATGATTTAGTATGACAATTTTGACTTTTTATCTCATAATGGACTTAGTATTATGTCATAATTTAGATTTTCTGTCTCAATATTATAACAGTCAATTTCAACTTTCTAAATATTATAATCATGACTGAAAGTCACAATTTTGATGTCATAATTTTGTCTTTTTAATCTCATAATGATGGTGTCTTTTCTCATGTGATAACCAGTATTCCCCAGAGCATGTCCCGTGTGCTTCTTCCTCCGGTTCTTACTGTCGGCCCGGTCCAGATCCGGTTCTGCTGTGTTCCTCCTCTTGCAGTGACCCGAGAACCGAGACCCCGGACCCGTGACCCGGACCTGAGACCCGGACCCGTGACCCGGACCTGAGAACCGAGACCCCGGACCCGTGACCCAGACCTGAGACCCGGACCCGAGCCTGAGCCTGGACCCCAGACCCGTGACCCGGACCTGAG